ATTTAATGGTCTCATCCGAAACAAAGAAAGTCGACAAATGACAAAATAATCTTACGATAATCGAGAAGCGCCTATTGAGTTTTTGTCAGATGTTTTCGAAACGTTCTGAATATTCAATACAGTTCGATTCGCCTGGGAGGTACTCATCAGCTTCGTAATTAGAAATTAATCGTTATCATATTAAAATGTCAGGTTTTAAGCTATAAGTTTAATTTTTCAATTTATTTTACAATTTCAGCCGTACCATACTAAATATGTTATCAAACATCTCCAGAAAAAATCTAGCATTTAAACACAACCGTTACTCGTAGGGTCCTGTGCTCATGAATCATAAGCTATTTTCTTCTCCTTGTGTATCCTTCCATCTGGAAAATAGAAGAATTTTATAAAGTACAAGGGAATGCAAGGATCTAGTGATTATATTTTTCTGAAAATATATTCATGATCGCTTTCTTTATAAACCAATTTTGGTAAACTTACCTTGAGTTTGATTTTGATTGTTCTGAGTACCCTGTCTTTGTCATCTCGATGTTCACTTTTTTTATAATTTGTGATTTTATTTGGCGACCAGATCATCATGAAGGTAAGCATATGCCTTATCCATTGGGCAACAACTGCTTAATTTGTCAAATCCTTTACACCAGTCAACTACTAATGTAACATGATAAATTTATTTAGTATCATAATTTTCTACTTATGAGAAGCTCATTTTAAATTCCGAAGCTCACGCGAATGTTAATAATCTAACGCTCGTTTTGTGAGAAGTGAAAGGGAATAAGTCTAAAAACAGTTTGTTTCATCCATCAAAATGTAATCCTAACAATTTTAATCCATCTAAATGAACAACTCCAGCGTTGCACCAGCCAATCTAGATTCTTCTTCGAGTTGCAGATAGCATCAGCAGTTACTTTTCGTGGCGTGATATTGCCGACACTGACTGTGACAAACAGTATATTTTTAATTGAATGATTGCTACCAGAACCTGTTTATCCAATTTGGTGAAATGTTCAAGAAGATAAAAAATTTCAATACGGACAACATGCATTTTTCAATAAAAAGGTGGCGTCAAGTAGGTTGACTGAAAACTTTGTACGCAACACTGTCATCAGTTCGTTAAGGATTATATTCGCCATAAGATAGCCCCTCTAAGAAAAAAGTTAGTTGTAGTTGTAGTCACGGTTCTTGGCGGTTACGTCATCAAAGATATATGGAATAAGTAAGCAGATCGAGACTCCATACTATGGGCGGAACACTGCAAAGACTAATCTTCAGCCCATCTGCTACTCTCTCTAGTAAGGGGATAACAGGGGACGGCTGTTTTCATTCTCTTCCTGGAAATACTCTAATAAATTTATCACGACCTGTCAGCATTCTCCATTGATCGTATTTCCGGGCATTGCACAATTTTATATTGACGATTGATAACAGGACAACTCGAATTGCACGACGATGTCAAGTAAGTTGTCACTATGACAAATATGATTGACGGGCACTCATAACGACAAAGTTTTCGAGGCAGAGACACATAACTAAAAAACGTATGCCTTTGAGCTTACCGAACAAACGTTTACACACAGGGGAAGGTTGCATGTGAGTGTATGAGGGAGATGAATATATATAAAGGGATACTGGTAGTCTCACTTTGACCCGCCAAGAACGGAGACGACAACTATACCCACATATACCTACGAGTATAACACAGGAATTGAATGGATCAAACCTGTCAAACAGGCCCTTACAACTGATTCATAATCTCCACACGATACAACAGGAGCTCAATATATGTAAACACAGACAGTCAAGTCATATGGGGATAGAAGGCAGTCGATAAGTGTGTCAAAAAATGAGCTCTTTGGTCCTGAACCAGCGAGCAGCATCTCCCATACCCTTGCACGAGCTAGTATTTTCCGTTGGATGTCAAATGAGCACCAAAAGAGGTGGGATAGCTTATTAAGACACGCACACATATTAGAAGAAAAATCTGAGGGAACCTTCGGGGCCAAATAGAGCAGAATCACTTAGATTGAGTAGGAAACAACTACGGAACGTGGTTGGTCTTATAACCGGCCTCTGATTATTCAGAGCGCACTTACAAAAAACATGAGCTACTGTATCAAGTTCCCTATCTAGAATTTGCGGATAAACTGCAACGCATGCTGTCTCCGACTGTATTACCCTGAACAGCAGAAGGAAACCAGAGGGGCAAAGTACGGAGGATTGCTAAGTTCACCAGGAACATAGAATGGGATTCTGTCTAGTACCTGAGGCGATCATCATCGCCCTGAAGCCTAACCTCCTTGGTACTAAAAAAGCCTACACACATTTGCCAACGTAGAGATCTAGAAATTACTCCCCTGCCCTATCAGGTATCGATCAGTCCTTGGTGCAGGTATTTATATGTTCGTCGAGATGCTTCGGATGTGTGTATTGGAAATATTTCTCTATAATTCTAGGTTTCAAAGGAGATTGTTCGTGGAAATCAACGATGTATGAACTAAGTCTAATGGATGTGTAGAATTATCAGAGTTGGAAATGTATGAATATACCAACGCCAAAAAATGAGATTTGGCTTCCCACATCCCCTAGAGCTAGCAAGCCACATTTTATAACACATGCATGCTTCTGAAAATTACCAGGAACCTCTGAACCGTCAAAAACAAAAATTAATCTTTAGTAGCATTATACAAAGTAATAAGATTCTAAGGAGTATGTCATCAGATCGAGTATTTTCCACTCGCAAGGATTGTGAGCAGCAGCCAAGAGTATCCAAAACTAAATTAGTATGTTTAGCGATGTTTGCTGTAGCCTCAGTGTTAAAAATATCATCCCATCATTCATATACCTGTATAGAACCTCTGAATTCGCCAATTTTATAAATTTTCAGCAACATACTAATTTAGTTTCGAATTTTCTTAATTGATGCTCACCACCTTTTAAAGCTTGAAACCGATAAATGGGATGGAAAAATGCTTTCTGGTAAAAGATACTAAAATATAGTCGCAAATGCCAATATGCTCTCAACCTTAGTCTTGAGGTCCACGCTTAAAGTCACTTCAAAGAGCAAAAGTACTAAGCGGTAACTCAGGATAACCCAACTTTATCCCGGCAGCTGGTGCAATTGACGCTATGGGTTTGTGCCAAACCATATCGTCGCACCAATGTTCACTTCCAAAAGCCAAAACAAATTCCTTCATGGCATAAAAAGGCGCATGCAAGAAAATGTGTCTTTCATGACAATGATTTTACCCCAGAAATGTGTGACGTGAGTAGTAGGCACCAAATTGATTTCTGGCGTCGGCAAGTCAGAAATACTATTGGGTTTTCTGGTCGTTAAATAAGACTATATACGAATATGTGAGCTTAAGACTTTAATAACGTTTCAGCCAGCTTGAGTCCCCTTTTAAAAGTATAGTTCAAAAAGCCTTTTTGTGGCTAAAACATTACTAAAAACTCAAGTCTACATTTGTGTGGTTTTATTTACTGACCAGAAAACTTGAAGAGATATCAGCATGATAGAGATAGATTTCCGATGTTACATTAATCCAGGGAAATTTGGTATCTTCGAGTGCATACTAGAATACTTCAGAACGAAGTCGATTATCTTGGTTTTCTTTGAACATCTAGCGTTTGTTTGAATTGGAATCATCTTTTTTCGAGATCTTTGTTTTGAAGAACTGTGAGCCTCATATCTAGTCACCCAATGAGTGGAAGCATTTGGACTGGGATCTTATTTGATCTCATGATTTCTTTCTTCTCTCGTGCAAGGACTTATTGAACATCGCTTGGAAAATTGTAAACGACCAAACGCTGCTTTCTTTGAAGGACATACCTATTTGAAGAGAATTATGATCTCATCTGAATATCTTAAGAAGATTTAAGTCAAAAGTCTGGACAATCTAAACGAGGCATTTTTCTTATCGTGATATATTAAGGAAACATAGATTTAACAACAAAGTAAATATTCAGTACTTTTCAAAAAGCTTCCCTACCTACACTTATTTGTGAATGGGTCAAGCTAGAAGGCTAGAATTCGGGATAGTGAAATTGACGCATGGATAATATGTTTTAGCATAAAGAAGGGAGTTCAACATTTCAAAATGGTGATTGGGCGTCATTTTGGAATATTTTTGTAAATTGAATGAGGGGTCATGTGAAACCACATTTTATATACAAGTTGAGCGCTTTGCTTTATTTAGCCGTTTATCTAGTCATTAAAACGTTATAGTGTGTAACATAAATATTCTTCTCTTAGAGGGATCTATCTGAATGCGCAATAAAATGTGGAACATTCCATTAAAGAAATTGTCAAAATCTGATCTTTTAACTAAATATCTCATACTTTATTGTAGATTCAGATAGATCCTTCCCGAAGAAAAAGATTTATACAATATATTTATAACCTTTTGAAGATTAGATGTTTTAAGGCACTCAATGTACAAAAACCTATACTCGAAAATTCTACTTGTAAAATGTTACAAGATCTAGCCGCTAACTTGAAACTCTTATTTTTGTATTAGAATACAGCATTTATGCGCCAATTACTTCATCTCGAATTTCAGCTTGCTAACTTGACCCGTTCAAGAAATTAGTAACACTCCGTACAATTTCAAGAAAATCACTGCTCTTGAATTGCACACTCTAACACAAAAATCGGTTACGACCAACTTCTAGCTTACCTCAATTATCGAAATGTTTAATTATTTATGTATAGTTAAGACCACTCTTTTGTCCATAGGGTATCGAGATTGTGGAACAATCTTCATGAGGAGGCTTTTTCCAGTTCTTCTAACCTTACGCTGTTCAAAAATCGGACTTTAAGCTCCTCATAGCAGCCGTGGTGCCCTGGCAAAATACCGGACCGTTCCCAATACTCTAAAGCAGTTTGCTGCCACGTACAAGCAATTTTTCCTCTAACTGATTTAAGCGGTTCTTTCAAGAGTGCAAAAAATTGTTGTACAGCTTTCGTGTCACCGCTGGCGGCCACTCACCGCGTCGCGGCGGACAGTCGTGCCGACGCGACGCCCGCGTCCATCAGTACCCCCCCATCTTACAATCAAACTGTAGCATCGTAGTGCCAGAGTGGGGCTGTTCCATCATTTTTGGGCCCCCTCTGTCAGCCCTTTTGGCGTTTCGTATAAATGCTTAGCAGAAAGTGCGTGCGGCGATCAGTGACTGTACGACAACCGCGTGGTGGTTGTTCGTGGTGGTGTGTTTGCTACCCCCGTCCCCTATTGGATGTTTAGGATGAATTTGATTGCGGTATGTACAGTGATTACTGTTTCTAATATTTATGTTATATTGAAACACCCACAGTCTTGATGAAAATTGTACGATAATTGGTGTAATGTGAATATTGGAAGATGACATTTAGTCTATGGGCCTTATCTCTAAGTTCATTATTTTTTTACATATTTTAATCAAAATATAAAACAGAACAGAATAAAATGTCTTATCTAAATAATTTTAACAACTTTACAGCTTTAACTTCACCGATAAATCATAAAGGAGCAATAAACAATCTATTTATTTTGCTCATAGGAAATAGATTGAAGTAATATCAATTTAAACAAGGCTGTGATACGTAATGGTATTCAAAGAATCAGTTTTGTTATAAACAATTTAGAGATATTTAAGAATACTTTTCATTTAAACCAAAACTACCTGGGACATTGAAAAACTTGTCATATACTATATATATAATTCAGGATATTGAAATGTGGATCTCCAAGAAATAAGTTTTACTACGAGTTAAAGTAATCAAAAATTTGAAATATATACAGAAACACTCATGGAGGATTAGCGAACTGCTCATCCGTCAATACAATAATTTTCAAAACGATCTCAATATTACGCAATCAAAATATCATCACGCTTCATGCACCGGCTTCATACGTTGCACCGCGACAATATTGACAGAGTGACACCAGAAGGTCCACAGAAATGTGTAAAATCGATGCCTTTTTTCAGAAATCTTTGAATCGTAATATTACCCTTAATTAAAGTAGCTTTTTAAGGAAGGACTTGCACTAGATATTCTATATATAATTTGTTATGACGGGTAGTGACATGCTAGAATGCAATCAAAAGCTTCTCAATTTGCTTTTTCATAAGAAACCTTGTCAACATATGTTACATACCCAGTATACTAAAGGCTCTTTTAAATATCTATTTCACATCTCAGGCAATTTTCAAAGTGTGCATGTTTAGGCCTTCCGAAAAAGAAGAGTAGCCGGAGCAATATGTCCTAAGCAGTATGCCAAGGAGTAGCTCGTTGAGTGATCGGAATGACTTGTTCAAATACATTGCAATCTTAATTATTTTGCCACATACGTAAGATCGAAGCGCTGGAGAAAGATTCTCCATGCCCTTCAAATGTCCACGAGAAACATAGAGAGAGGATAAAATATAGTTTGCTCTGGGAGTCTTAACATCTCTGAATGGCACAATACTCTACGAGGAGCTGAGGGATGTAGTAATCAATTAGCACAGATCCCTTGTCAATCTACTCTTCCATATCGCTAGTTGCCATTTACTTTTGTGCCACTTTATAAGTCATGTCTTCCATCCCCTTGATTCTCGTATTTATTTTAATGATCTTGGACGTCACTACAATAATCCAGACCCTGGCATTATCATCTGCCATAACAGTGGCTTACATTCTTTATCTTTTAGCTCAAATATGCATACAGATTCTTTTATACTGATGTAGGGAAGTTTTACTTATAGCTTCTTATACAGGGTGTTAGAGAAATAATATTCGTAACTTTAAGGGGTGATTCCTTGCATTATTCTAAGCAAGAAAGTTCATTATAACTTATGTCGGAAAATCAATCGTTTTCGAGGAAATAAAAATAATTAAATTTCCTCAAACATTTGGCAACGTTGCATCGCAACCGCGATACAAGCGCACGACGATCGCAACTGATTCATCGAATTGTTTACGTTTGCATGATATTTTTGTTGAAAATATGCCTTGAATTATTGAATACTTTTACGCTTTTTTTTGTGGCTAATACTTTTTATTTAATAGCGCCTTCAGTACAGTACATTGACTTAAAAAAAAGACAGAACTTACCGGTATGTAGCGATACACACCACCAATTCCCATGATTACCAGTCACTTATTTGAAAAAACGAAAAAAGAAAAAAACATCCGTAAATCACATACCTATGTAAAGTTACAGTTAAATGTATTAGTAATCACAATGGATGTTCTTCGGTTTCCACTCCAACTTCACGATGTCTTCCGCGATTGTTAAAATTAGGCACTACGCTCCCTGTGTCCAGAAGTATTTGGGATACTTCTACGAATGTTCTTATAGCTGGTAGCCTTCGATCAGAAAAACGTTCTTCGTAAATGCGCCTAGCCTCTTCAGAATTGCAATGAGCGTCTCCGTAAATAATAAGCATATCGTGATACTCGCGTACCGAAAACATCTCTTTCGTATCAAAGTGCACGCACTGATACAGTAATACTTACTGAATAATAAAATGTGATTTTCGGATAAACATTACTTGCGTTAACGTATGCAACAAATGATCAAATAATTTTTTCCCGATGTAGGTATTTATTTTTTGCCTGCCGATACGATGTCGGTCGCGGAGTCGGCGGAGTACAACGTTGTCAGTTGTGTGAGGCATTTTGTTTGTTTGTTTTTCTTCGGAAAATTGTATTTAATAAGCAAGCAAATTATTTTGTTAGAGATAGTTAATTAATAAATCGATGTATATTGATACATTTTACGCTATTATGCATTTGAATTTAAATTATTAAAGTGTAAAATTAATTTTATTGATGACTAAAAAGAAATAAGTTCAGCATTGTTTTGCTCCGAAACGGTTGATTTTCGGGCATAGGTTATAATCTATAATGAACTTGTTTGCTTAGAATAATGCAAGGAATCACCTCTTAAGGTTACGAATATTATTTACCTAATACCCTGTATATTCATATATTTACATATATCGCGTAATATTATTTCATTCGAATTTCAAGATTTTTACGTATTTTAGGTCCCTTTAACACAGAAAGCAGTCAGAATGCTATCGTCCTTCAAGAAACAAAAAGAGCAATGATGTTGTTAGATATTTTGTAGATTACAGCATGTATTATCAAAAATTTTCTGGACGAAGGGGCATAAAGTTTCGCCGCAGCTGTTTCAGACCCTCTTCACTCAATCCAAACAAATTAAACTAGCAAGAAAGCTTCACAGACGTTTCTATTGTTGCCGGATGTTATGCTTACGGATACTTGCTGCTGAAAGCACGGTTCTTGACATACTTTTAGCGAACATAGGTATACGATAATATTTGTTTAAAACTATACAATACTCAACTCCACTGAACAACACTTTCTCTCTCACGAAAAAAATATATTAGCAACTTTGCATCCATATGTGACGCTAATTAAACAATCGTAGCCAGCCACTTGATCCATTCCACAACTGTCACAGTGGAAACAGGAACTATCGAACATGTCATGAATAACATGTGATTTATTTACATTTCTCAAGTGCAATTTCTAATGATTCACGATATTTTTTTCTTTTTATTGCGCCTGATAATTGCTAGTGCAAGTGATAATTAATTTTCGTTCCGGAACAGTTGCTAGCGCGCAATACAAAATTTTATACATTTCTTCAGATTACGGAATCAGAACTAGAATCTTCTTGTGTATGTTGGTCTGTGTTGGTACATTGGCACTGGATGGATTTTTGATGGAGAATATGAGGTAAATAATTTTATTGAACTACAGAGCCTCTGTCGCTTTTTTGTCCATGTTGTAATAATACATCTTCAATTTACGTCTTCAATTTATGTAAATTGTTTAGAGAGATATGGAGAACATACCATGTAACAAATAAGAAATACCCAAATAAGAATCTTCTTTTGCATGGTCAAATTTTTTTCTTACAGGAGCTATCGGACTAACTCCCATTTTAAACTTATTGTGTTTTGTTTATTTCCATTTTCTGTACCTCAGTCAGGTAACTTTGAAGTCTGTAATTGGCATAGTTTTTATGCGCGAACTAAGCTGGTTTTAGTCTGGAATTCTCAAGGAGCTAATGCCAGGTAAGAACTTCATTATATTGTCCTGCTTTATACAGGTATTCTTTCAAACCACCAAGTCCTCTCAGATACCTTTATTACGTGAAGTTGATATCTGGTGATTGAGAGCAGTTTTGCCGCCCTCATTAGGTTATAATATACAGGGTGTCCGCAAAGTTGGGGTTTTCCTTTTCAGAAACAACTACCCTTGAAATAACGAGGGCGACCAAGTAAAAAAAATAGTGAAGCGTTAAACCTTTAATTTTTTTATTTCTGTGACTACACTTTAGCGTACTTCAGGACGAAACTGTTTTTTATTTTTCAGAAAAACTTAAGAAATCATTAGAAATGCGGAAAATAGATGTGAAATTGTATATAAAAGATCTTTGTGCACTCTTGCGTCTTGATTTTGTATTTTGTCTCATCGCTGTATCCCCAAAGGTCACCTCAAATGATTGGTTAATGTATTTTATGCTTTCTTTTACGGATGGTCTAGGATCCGACGTCTCTGAAGAGAATTATTAATCTATCAACTTCTCCAGAAAACGGATTATGAACAAGTATAAGTTTATAGATGTTATGTCTTGTAATCGTAATCATAGAAATATATTGCCGTGAACATTTAAAAAAGGCTGTCCCTCTGCCCGAAATCATACCGCTCCAACAGAAAATGAAATCAGCTGATGCGCTACCGAGCAGACGTAAACAGTCTAGGTATTGCATCCCGTCCAATCGATTTGGGAGAATAAATGGTCCAATGAGCCTACCGTTCACCATGCCAGCCCAAACATTTACCGAAAATGTTTGTTGAAAATGTGCCCGACGGACAGCGTGACCAAACATGAGTGTTGCGAAAGTTATTCACCCCATTACGCGTGAACGTAGATTCGTCTGTCACCAATATGCACTTCAAAAAGTCCGGATTATTGTCATGTTGATGCAACAACCACTCACAAAACCGCATTCTTGCTGGAAAATCGTCAGGTTGAAGGGCTTGTACACATTGGACGTGAAACGGATACAGCCCCTCTTCACGCAGCGTTTGTCACACTTTAGTTTTTGATACTTGCACTTCTCTAGCCACGTCTCTAGTGCTTGTTGTTTTTTGAAACGCAATCGATTATACGAGTTCGTTTACCTCTACACGCGTGACCGTAACCGTCCGTTGAAGGTTGCATACTGACCTGACACACTGACCCCGACCCCCGACC